GCGTTAAATTAAATTGTGTGCATAACCATTCCTTTAGAAAGACAACGTCAGTTTGGATGGCATTGTTGACAATTAAAACACGTATTGCGCATGCTTGCTACGAATACTACGGGTTTCGGAATCGAATAAAACGCAGGGCAATTCGATAGCGAATAGGAATAGCAAATTTCTCGATATCGTATTTGGTTGCGAGTTTCGAAAGCCATTCGATTTCGCATTTCGCACTGATTTGGAATCTCACTGCAGTTCGCTCACTCTGCGTCGGCACTTTTGAACTCAATGTTCCAGTTTATACACTGCGCAACTCGGATAATACAATATATGACAACCGCCTATAATAAAATAGCAGTCTTCTGCGCACCCTGAATTTGTAGCCCTGGAGTGGATGTTATTTTGGAACTTTCAACTGGTCCGAGTGAGCTAACTGATTCTTTAGCAATAAACTGTGACTCCAAAAATAATATTCACTGACACTGACAGCAGCAAGCAAAATTTTAAAAATATTGCGCCAATATGTAGGCAATACGTAATAAGGCATCAAAATGGCGGAGTTTTCTATCTACTTTTAAAAGACACTCACAAATGGTGCGTTTGATTTGATCATCGGAGGTCTCCGAGCGCTGCAAACGTGTTTGAATTGGCACTCCGAGAGATCCCTAAAGTGTTTGTTTTGCTTTGGAGCGAGAACATAGAGCGAGCTCGATGTACTCAGAGCAGAAGGATCGAGAAGAGGGAGAAATTTGTCTTTGTCTCTACCTATCTCTTTTTAATTTAGCTACAAACAAATTTGAATCTCAAAATTAAAGAACAGACAAGAAGTCAACAAATTACTTAGCCGCTTTTGTCTTATATCTAAAATTATTCGTCACAAAAAAATGTGTGTTTGGAAAATACATTTTCTATGTCCAAATCTAATCACCAGTAATCACAGTCATGGAGTATGAAAGCGAAGCGGTCATCTGTGGTATATGCTGTATTTCAGGGCCATTACCCCTTATTATTAAAAGTTTTTGAATTTTCTTTACTTTTTGCTATTTTGACGCACAAACCAGAAACAAGAATCACAAAAAAAGCGAGGTTATGTTTTTTACTCTGTTTTATTTGATTTGATTCAATGCTCTATTGTGACGTCATTACTTCTCGGTCTCCTCGACGCTCGCTCGATCAAATTTCAAATCAAACGCCCCTAGAGAAGATGGATCGAGAAGAGGGAGAAATTTGTCTTTGTCTCTACCTATCTCCTTTTAACTAACTTACAAACAAATTTGAATTTCAAAATTAAAGACCAGACAAGAAGTCAACAAATTACTTAGCTGCTTTTGTCTTATAGCTAAAATTATTCGTAATAAAAAACACAAAATGTGTGTTTGGAAAATACATTTTCTCTGTCCAGATCTAATCACCAGTAATCACAGGCATGGAGTATGAGAGTGAAGCGGGCATTTGTGGTATATGCTGCATTTCAGGGCCATTACTCCTTATTATTCAAAGTTTTTCCATTTTCTTTACTTTTTGCTCACTATTTTGACACACAAACCAGAATCACAAAAAAGCGAGGTTATGTTTTTTACTCTGTTTTATTTGATTTGATTTAATGCTCTATTGTGACGTCATCACTTCTCGGTCTCCTCAACGCTCGCTCGATCGAGTTTCAAATCAAACGCCCCTAAAGCATTCTCCGTATAGTAAGAGAAAATCAAAGTATGTGGAGTAACACCTCTAGTCTTATATGCTCTAAGCGTTTTATGCACGGACGGACGTTCGCTAGATACCTGCGTTCGGTATTTAAAAGGTACGTTCTGAAATAAATGACTGTTCGCTTTAATTACGTGGAGTTAAATTAGTCGTTTTATGCAAACGTATATTTTTATTGTGTCGGCAGATGGACCAAGAACGTCTGTCCTGGGAATTTGAAAATGATATTTTAAACCATGCAGATTCTGGAAAACGCAACATAGAGTTGAAGTCATGCTATGAACGTAAACATATACGTGAAAATTGACATCTACGCATGCGCATTCAAAAAGCCTTCGCGTTCACGTCTACGTACATACGTAAGCTTGCTGGCTCTGCCATAAGCACGTAAGGCAAATAAAATACTCTTTTTAATTGGGAAAGAAGAAATCCTAATAATAATTGGGCATTCCAAACTGAATGGCTACCAGTGGGTTTTGACAGCTTATGATATGGCAAAATTATGGCAACCCTGTAGGTCTGGTGATTTGACAAGGTCAATGAAATAGATAGTTAGATTAATCATCCATATTTTTCAAAATAAACATAATAAGCTTATACCTTGAAGTAAAAATGTAAGCAATTATTATTTTTTTAAATATCTAGGCTGAAAATTGGTTTTAAAACATATTTTTGCTAAACCGATTCAAATTAATAAATATTTGCCAGGCAATATGGCCTCTCGCAAACGACCAGCTTTGAGCAATCTATATAAATATATATGTATCATTGACCCTGTTAATGACAACATGACAACAGGTTTGCCAGTCTTCATAGGTTTGCCAAATCTAAACTGTCAGTCCCCACTGGTAGCACATACTTTTAGCGGATTCACATCAAATACTCTTGCTCCATGACAAAGCGCTTTTAGTTCTGAATTGATTTTGGACAAAATTTTTAATAATCAAATTTATATCTAGCAGTGCTCACAGCAAGCACGAGCTAGAGTTCGACATTTGTGTAGCTCATCTTTATCTTTATTCGACTGGCACAGTTAGCATTTGACATTTCAGGTTTCTAACAAATTTTTAACAATATTTATTTATTGTTACCAAAATAAAAATTAAATCCCTATTAATTTAAAAAAAATTCCATTTTCACTAATAATAAAGACAAAGATTGTAATATATTTAAAAATATTAAATAATTCCTAACCTCCAAAATGACACTGGTACTGAAACAAAGTACAGTTTCAAAAAATTCGAACTTTGAGCAAGAGCGCCTGCCAGTCCAACATAAATTTCACTATGCCTTGGTACCGAGCAATGTCAGTTGAATGCAATAATTGACTTTTAATTAATTAGGTTCTGCCAGTCGAACAAACACCACTTAAAAAAGTCGAACTAAATGCGCATTAATGTAGCCAGTCGAATTCGCTATTTGATTACTATGCGGTGCAAGAGAGAGGTCCGACACGCCCAACATAGGGCGCGGCCATTTTGATTCCTATGCCTCAGTTTGTAGCTAAAGAATCAGATCGCTCACTCTGCGTCGGCACTTTCGATCTCAATATTCCAGTTTATACACTGCACAACTCGGATAATACAATATATGACAACCGCCTATAATAAAACAGCAGTCTTCTGCGTATCCTGAATTTGTATCCCTGGAGTGGATGTTATTTTGGAACTTTCAACTGATTCTTTAGCAATAAACTGTGACTCCAAAAATAATATTCACTGACACTGACAGCAGCAAGCAAAATATCAGGTGTGTTTTAATCATCCGCAGATAAAAATCCACATGTTATTAAATAGAAATATATTTAAAGAGTTCAAATTAATGTATGGGTGGGTATTATTGACACCTACTTGATTGGTCCATTAGATTGCCAGATCGTCTTAATGGTGACAGTTATTTGTATTTTCTACGTCAAGATTTGTCTCATCTGGTAGAAGACTTACTGCTCAATTTACGCCGTGACATGTTTTTTATGAACGATGGTGCACCACCTCATTTTTCCCGCCATGTGAGAGATTATTTAAACGAACAATTCATGGAAAATGGATTAACAGAGATCGGAGTGCTCCTAGTCAGTAGCCACCTTGTGATTATTTTATTTTGGGTCACTTAAAAACCAAAGTTTATTAAGTTCCTATCGACAACATTGAATAATTATGGGGTAGGATTCAAAATGTTGTGAATTCTATGCGAAATGATCTAGGCATTTGGGCCGTATTAAAATCTGCATGAACAAAGGAGGTGGCCATATTGAACATTTATTGTAAAAAATAATATCTTCATCTTTGAATTGTTATTTTACAGTAGATACTTATGTTTATTAATGATTTTTTATAATGTAATAATGTTGACAGTGTTCGGGTTGCGATGGGTATAACCACCAACTTAGTTTTCTTGAAAATTTTAAGTCACTAACCATCAGTCCATAAAAATGTTCTTACTCGAATACCATGAGAGATACATGTTTTTTGTAAAAGACGATAAATGCTATAAATGAATACAGGCCTTCATAAAAAAATTAAGGGAACAGGGATGGTCCTCAAAAAAATACGATGTCATTCATGGTAGGATTGGAGTGGTTTTTACCATTCTATGATTTCAGTTAATCTAATTTTTGCTTTAAACAATGGCTCTTTATTTAAAATAACTACATACTAAATTTTATAAAAATCGAACGAATCGTTTTCGGGTTATTACAAAACATTTAACATTTTCTTTTAACTTTGAAGCTTCCCCACAGGCAAACGAAGCACTTTGTAATATTGGTAACGTTGGCTAACTCGATTTATTTTGATCCCATCAACATATTATAGTAGCTCTATGTACACGGAATTTTGAGACACCCTGTATATTTAAAATTCGAAATAATAATTATGAAATAGCGGTGTTAATGTTATTCTAATCAAATTCTAGTTCAACTGAAAATGTTACTACTGCTCTAGATTCCTTTACAATTCTTACTTGTTTTAGTACAACAAAAATCTAAAATCAAGAAAATAATTTCTTAACAAATGTAATGCAAATGTGACTATTTATCCCCCAACTGCTTAGCATCTAACATTATATATATATAGCTAATACATTGTCATTATTTGCAATTTGTTCTAATTTATTACATACATATAAAAATCAAATAAATATTAAAAAAAATACAATTTTTTCTTGATAAGTAACAAATCTATAAATAGGAATGTTTGGGTTTAAACGGATAGACTAATAATAAAATATTGTGGTCAATTTTACAAATTATGTGCCTTATCTATGTTACTAAAGAACTAATTTTAGATAAAAATTACATTACTTACCATTTAAAGGTGTCCATGATAAAATTGGATATGGTGACCAAATTCCAACCACAAGAACGATTCTTAACAGACACTTGTATGTAAAAAACATCTCTTTATATCGTAAACTAATTTGTAAAGTGAAACGTCATAAACTTATATTGACATTATTAACTAATAACATGACATATTTTGTCTCTCTTAAATCGGTCCTTTTTCAAGAAATACTATGCAAGAGCAGGACAGGGACATATATAAGAATAAGATACATGAATAGAAAAATTGGTTTTAAATATTTTTAAAGTAATCTTGACAAAAAAATATTTAAATTTATCAAATAAAAAATAATTTTTTTTGTACTTACTTTTTATAAATAAATAATTTGTTTCTGCATACTAAGAAAATAAATTTAAAGGGAACTACCACGCCCAGAAAGTAAAAATTTCAGTCATACTTATATTTTTAGTATATATTTTTTATCTTATCCAGGTTATGGATTTTGTCACAAAATACTTAGAATTTATGAGAAAAATTCATATTTTTATTAGTATTATTTTCCTTAAACCTTCATATTTGTAAACGAATATATTACAAAATAACCAATAAAGCTTAAGTAACTGCATAAAATCTAAAACTGGCGAAATATCGAATTTCAAGCACTATCTCCCATTTAATACTAGCAATTCTATATCCCACGTGACGTCACCGTCAGTCAGCTGCATGCGCAGGAACATACCATTAGCAAAGAGTATAGTTAACACCAGAGATAAGGGACATCTTATCTTTGGTTAACACAAGAGATCGCACTTAAATGTCAATCGATCTGAAAGTCTGTGACCTTAAAAATTCAAAATAATTTACGCGGGTAAAATGTATCTAATATAACCTAGCTTTCTGATAATTTCTCTTTTTGTAATTTAATTTTGTTATAGATCTGTATTTTTAATACAAATTACATCATGAAGTGCAGTGAAAAACAGCAAAAATACTAATCAATTTTCTAGATGTCATTTTTCTCATGTGTCAGCAACCAACGTGCTGATTGGTGACCCCAGACTTGTCAAAAATACCCCAGACCAATAGAGAAGAGGTACCGAGGTCAGTGAGATTGGAGCCAAAATTTAACATGGGAAATATAGAGAGTGACAGGCCTGTGCCGTTAGTTTGTGTATGGTGTTGTTTGCACTTCTATACATAGATCGGGAAGTAACTCTGTAATAATTATTGGTTTAGGCAACTGAACATACTTTTCGCGACTGGTGCGCCATCTGGCATAGAAAATATTGATTATCATGGTATCCAAACGTAAAAGAGGACCGTTGGGGCAGCACCTCCCGGTGCCCTCTAAAATTTTTAAGCAAAACTACCTACTTTTTTCAAAAATGGTAAATACACAAGTTGTTCAGTGGCAAATAAAGAATGGCGGATGATAACATTTATACGTATATGACTTTTTTATTTTTTTTTTTTTCACTTAATTTTGTTTATGTTTATAAAAAAAAGTCATCATGCGCCAATCTACGATGCATAAGAAGCTCGGATACAAAAAAAGATTTTTTTTTTGGTGAGTATTAAGCCCGCAATTTGAACATTAACATTTCCAATATGGCGGACGGGTATAGAACCCTCTAAAAAACAACCCGAAGGGTTTACTTTCCGGAGATCAACGGTTTCAACGTACACTCAATAGTGGGGACACAGTACATCGGTTGACCAGAACATTGGTTTATTAACCACATTACTTACTTATAGCTGATTTTACATGAATGGTTCTTTTTCTGAATAGAAAGATGGTGATGCTGTCAATGGTTTTTTATATTATAATGAAGGTTTCATATGTGCACTGTGCCTGCTGATTTATTAAATTAAACATTTACTTTCAAACGAATGTACCTAAGGTATTCTCAACATTATTTATACTTTTGCACACATAATGTTCTAGAGTCTTTATATTCATAACTTAAGTATTACCAACATATTTCATAATTTAATTAAGCACTATTTCAAAATTTTGTTATTCAAGCACTTACTGTCTCGGCATGGGTATTGACCATAAATACCTCGGAACATAAGGGCTATGTTCATCATTTCAATTTTTAGATTTCTTCTATATTAAAAACAGAGGACCTAACTATAAGTTAAGCAAACTCTTAAGTCCCATAAAGGGCAGAGATTAGATTAAGTAAATTAACCTCTTCTAATCTGGGAGTTGCAATAAATAACATCTGTGTCTAAAGTTTTTGTGTTATTAATTTTTTTTGTTTGTTACAACATTTTTTTTTGTTTTATAATTTGTATTATAAAATTTCATGGTTTAATATTTGTCTTATTAATATTTGGTCTTAACTATGAGTTAAGCAGCTAATTTCTTCCAACTTGGAGAGTGTTGAATGTTTATTGTGTTTCAACATTGAACGTTGATGTTTAGATATAGGTGCGGATATGCACATGATTTTTTTTGTTTTCACTGTTTATGTAAAAGGTAGAAATTAAGATCTCAATATTTTTGCAAACCATCTTGAGCAAGCGTTTTTTCGCTTGTTACCCAGCTAACGACCAATCGTGGCACCTGCTGGTTAATTTATTTTCTTTTTGGGTTCATGCATATTACATATACATTTAATGTCTTACCATATTTACTAGTTTATTTGAGTATAAATTCATCAAAGGCCACTAGATAAATCATTTGTAAGATTAATTATAAGAATTATTGGGTAAATTATTGGTAATTTTTTTTATAAAGGAAAGGAAGTTGAGGTTTGTCTTTTATTTATTTCCTCATTTATTGGATTTTGGGGAAATAGAAGCATAGTTTGACCACTATATAGTGGCCAACTGGGTCTATATAGACCCAGTTGGCGCTTATCATTGGTCTACTATTTCCGAAATTATTAATAGCTATCCACCCCGGAACAACCGAATTTTGTGTAACCGAAGTAGACATGATTTTAATGATAAGTTATTTTTTTTTATTTTCGAAGTTTAATTTTAAGTAATTCCCCTCAAGAAGTTTCTTAGAATTTTTGTTAGGTTACAGGTTTGTTCGTTGGCTTGGTTCTGTATAAAAAAACTTCGAAACAAGCTGATTAGTCTTTCCGATGACGTACACATTTTAAATTATAAATGGTTTTACTTTAAAAACTTTTGACTTTTTTAATAAACTGATTTTTTAAAATAACTTGTATAGTGACTATTATAATATAATTTATAAAACAGCATACCTTACATCTTAAAATGGCACATTATTCTAATATTCTCGTACTCGTTTTTCAAAGATTTCCTCCGAAAGGATCTTGAATCGCTCTCTGTATATATTCACAAAAAATATACCAAACGGCTTTTTAAATCATCACCAGCCTCTGATTTCTTTCGTCGACTTCCCATTTGGTTCCGGAAATCATCAATCGCTGGTTTTTTCATAAAGGCAATTAACTAAACTGATGCTCGTCGATGCGTCATTGTTACCAAACTGGTCTGGCCGGGTAAGGTGGGCACATCGGCAAATTGAACAGGTGAAATAGGTCGAATTCACTGTATCGATTCGAAAATAAACAGATTTAAAATGTTTTTGTTTTTTATTTATATGGATATCATCGGATTTATAGAGCGACGTAATAAAATACCTTATATGTTTCTACACATTTATAAAAAAGTAATTAGGACAAGGTTAATAGATGCAAATACGATTTTGGAGGTTTGATATAAATTAGTTTGAATGGTTTCATAATTTTTGTATAAAAAATGCAAATACAGTTAAGCACTAGTTTCGACAGGCCTTGTATATCAAAACATTGATAATAAGATTAATAAGGTACAACAGCATGTAGGTACAACTGCATATAGGTACAACCAGGGTCGACCAGAGGGGGGGGGGCAGCCGGGACTAATTCCCGGGGCCCGGGCTCAAATGGGGGCCTGGCAGCGGTATAAGGGGGGCCCGGCAGCGGTATAAAGGGGCATGGCAGCGGTGGTGTTTATTACTATCGACAGACGAGGGAGAGAGATTCAATTAGAGAAGAAGAAATTTTTGCTTGAAGACCTTTTTTTTAGAGAAATTCTAGTAGAGGACGAAAAATTTTTGTTATAAAATTGTCGCGGTGCCCAATCTGAAGAATTGTCCTGGGGCCCGGTCTGGTTCTCGGCGGCTCTGGGTACAACCGCATGTAGGTACAAGAAACAGTAGAAGAAAAAAATAGAAATAAGTACTGAGGACCAGGGCCAGATTAGGCCCTAATTTATTTGAGATGGGGGGTTCTTTATAAGTTCATATAATATGTCGTCAGTATCAAATATAAGTTTCGGATACCTAGAGGGTTGATGTGAAATAAAATTTAAGAGGTAATATAAGTAGATATAGTGAAATAATAAATCTTTAAGTTTAACTTTTTAAAAGCACCATTTACAAAGACTTATTATCTCTTTTGAAACATGTTATAAGGATTAAGGAAGTATATTATTTAATAGTATTGTGTTTAGGGATTGTTAGATTATTTTTGAATCGTACATTAATGTTGTGGACCTCTGATCTTTTTTTATTTTTTCATTAAGGTAGTTTGGTTTTTCGTTAGTAAAATTTTTTTGAAACTGAACAAAAGCATGTAGCAGTCTTCTGTTGTTTAGATTCAGCCAGCCTAAATCGATCATATAATTAGAAGTTCGAGTACGGCGCCGAATACCACAAATTAACCTTATGCAGGCATTTTGAATACGCTGTAATCGATTTCTATTAAATTGGGTTAGTGCTGGGCCATATATTATGTCCCTATAATTAAATTGAGACAAGACTAAACTTTCACACAGTATCTTTTTTGTATTTTTGTTTAAAATTTCACGATTTGAATAGATTAATTTTAAATTACAAAAAGACTTTTTAATAATAAAGTCAACATGTTGGGAAAAATGCAAATCTTCGTCTATAAGAATACCTAAGTTTTTTTCGCAATTGGAAAATGTCAAACAGTTGTTATCAATATGAATTTGCATATTATTTTTGATAGTGTTTCTGGATTTCTTGCGACCGAATACCATAGCTTTTGATTTTGTGGGGTTTATTGATAGGCAAAATTTCTTTGATAGTTCAGATAAGTTTTCAAGGTCTCTGTTGATTTGCAATACGGCTAAATCGGCGTCTGATTCGTTAAATTCGAGGTAAAGCTAAGTGTCGTCAGCATAAAAGTGAGATT